ACTAAGCAGAAAAAGAAATAGTAAAAGTTCAAAATTAATTTACTACTCACTACCTAAATCAGAATTGGATACAGTTGATGTCAAAGAAGTGACAATCCAAAAAATGAAATTATTCGAACAGAAACAAATCGTAACATCAGATAAAACGATTGATAATGTTGTTGGAGTGAAATATCTAAATATAAAACGAAAAAAACACAATTCAAAATTTAAATATAGTACTCACTACATAATTCAGAAGTGGAGGCAATCCATGTTGAAGACCTTATGATAGAAAAAGCAAATTATTTGAGATGAAACAAATCTAAGATCATTTATAACATATATGAGAAATTATTCAACATTGACTTAAAAGTAATAAGCCATTTAAATGAAAAAGAAATACAATCAACTGCTATGTGTACAATGATAGATTCCTCGATGATAAGAGAGGAAAGATCGATCTTTACTCGGACAGCACAAAACTTCTCGACTTCTGAGGAACAAATGCCAAGTCGAAACCGAAGAATACTAAACCCTACAACTGATAAAGAGAAGAGTTAACTGCTATCCATACACTGATAAGTCCTTCGATGAAAACAGGAGAATGATCAACTATAACTCTTAGAATACAAAATTCTTTGAGTGTATAGAGAAAAAGATCAACCATAATCTGAAAAATAATAAACCCTTCAATAGATAAAGAAGTAGAATCAATCCCTATCCATACACTGATAAACCATTGGAAGAAACTAGAAGAAAGATGAACCGTTAATCATAGAACAGCAAGCCTTTCGGGAAAATAGAAATAAAATACGGCGAAATCCGTTAAGTTATAAATTCTAATCTGCAGATGGGTAATCTCTTCAAAAAAAAGAAGAGAAAGATTAATGCTTATCCGTATAACAAAAACTCTTCGAATGAGTCGAGAAATTTACCAACCCTTATTAATACAATAATAAACCTTTTGAAGAAAAGGAAACCAAGATGAACACTTATCTGTATAATGAGAAAGTGTTTAAAGGAAAGTAAAGAAAAATCAATCGTTACCTTGATATTGCTAAACCCTTCATAAACAAAGGCAGAAGGATTCGCCATTATCTGAAGAATGGTAAATCTTACAAAGTAAATGAGCTAAAAACCAATCTGATCCGTACAATTGTCAACCCTAAAGTGCAAGAGGAAGAAGGATCAACACTTGTAGAATAATAGACTTATGAAATAAAGGAAGACGGATTAACTGTTACCAGAAGAGTGATAAGCCTTTTTAAAAGAAAGGTAAAATCATAAATCCTAAACCATATGATGATATATCATTATCTCGCAACTAGGATGATCTATTGCTAATCATACAAGAAAATATGTATGACCTAACACGTTACACTAAAAACCCTTATTATAACTTTCATGTACCTGTTATTCAAGGATTTATTGATAAAATTATGAAGAACAAGTATACATCATTATGCAAGTTGTTTTTCAGTTACGTGGAATGATATACTGTCATCCGTCGAAGAACAAACCCTTAGCTTAAAATATTTCACTGGAAAACCTTTGTGTAACTTCTATGTACCGATCGAAGTTTTACAAACCTATGGTTTGATAAATACTTCTATCAATGAGCATTTATAACATTTGCATAAATCCTCCGAGGATTTATACGTGATATCTCAAATGGTGAGGGTAGATGGCTATGCGGGTTTTGCTTTCAGTGTAGAACGATCTATCTTTAGACGAAGAATGATCTATCATAGGACGTAGCATGGTAAACTCTTACTCTACAATCGCAGAACAATCTACTCTTATGATTAGCAAAATAAACCCTTCTTTCAGTTATTGTAGAATGATCAACCCTTGGGTGTACGATGATAAACCCTCTAGTTACAGCCGCCGAGTAATCTACCCTTGCGCATAGAATAATAAACTCTTTTGTGCTCCTCGTAGAACAATCAACCCTAATGCGTGTAACAATATACCCTTTAGTGAAAACCTAGAACACTATACCCTTCAGGATAAAATAATAAATCCTTCTGATAGAAACTTTGACTCATAAGCCCTCAACTACGCGGCATATACCCTTTTTATTTTCATATACCCTCAATATTATAAACCCTTTCGTTCATAAACCTCTAAAGGGTATATTAATTGGTTATAAACCCTTCAAGGGTTTATGAAACCGTTTTTCAAATGACAAGGTTGACTATTCTACGGATGTTTTTTCAGTGTAGTCATATATTACTCTGTCACTTCATATACTATGTTCTGATATTGTTGGCTGATGACGTGCCGACTAAAGTTATGTGTACACGCAAACTTTGGGCTCACTATACATCATCAATAGAAGAGTACGATAAATGTCTCCAATTCATAATTAGTCTCAAAAACTTGACTTTTATCAATAATGCTTTGATAAAATACTCCTGAGATCTAAAATGTCTAGTCAGTAACTGTTTCTCTCAATGTCAAATTGATAAACATACGATAAATTTATTTGTTTTATAATGTTATCTTGTTTTTTTAGGCTACAAGTAACCTTTTACTACTGCATAATGGAACATTTCGATCTTTCGTTGATCAATTCAACTATTGTATCCGATTCGATGAATGTTTCAGCTAGAAATGTTTCGATATTAGACTCACGCCAACAGCGGAATGATTCGAAAAGATCATCACCTGATCTAGAAATAAAACTTAATAAAACTAATGTTTCTATAGAATCAAAACGTCGTTTCGTCGTTCAAAATTTTATTCTCGTTTGGTTAGATCCAAACATCAAGGAGTCTAATTATGACTTCGTGAACTCAATGACATGTCTTCGACCAATTATCAACACAATTGATACATTTATTAATATTGATGAATGTGTCAATTTTCTCTTTGATATTAGAAATGAGAAAGTATTTATGATTGTATCTGATGACATGAGTCAATTGCTAGTACCCCGAATTCATAGTATGCTTCAAGTCGAGTGTATCTACATATTTTGCGAAGATGTACTAAAACATGAACAGTGGAGTAAACAATGGTTTAAGGTGAAAGGTGTATTCACTAATATTGAATCTATTTGTGATCTACTCAGACAACATACTGGTCAATCTGATCGCGATTCTCTCTCAATTAATGTTGCCTATGGAGATCCGAATCGTATGGATCCCTCTTTCATGTACACACAACTCTTAAAAGAAATAGTGGTTGAAATGGAATACCCATTGCATGCAATAAAAGAGTTCTGCTTTTGTCGTGAAAATTTTGGTGACAATCCATCAGTGTTACAAAGAATCAATGAGTTTGAACGGGACTGTGACAAGCACGGTCCGATGTGGTGGTATACCCGATATGACTTCATTTATCAAATGCTCAATCGAGCTCTTCGCTTGCAAGAAATCAATATTATTCTAACAATGGGATTTTTTATACAAGATCTCCAGAAACAGATCGTGGAGTTACGCACGTCTTCATTTCAGAAGTTTATCGTATATTGAGGACAAGGAGTTTCAAACAAAGAATTCGAGAACATAGTTGCAAAACAGGGTGGTCTCTTATCGTTCAATTGTTTTCTGTCAACTAGTCTTGATATGCAAGTTTCTCTTTTCTACGCAGAAAGTTCTAGTGAAAATCCTGCACTGACTGGTATATTATTTGAAATAATTGTTGATTCAGTGACTTGTACAACTACTACTCATTTTGCTAGTTTAGATAATGTAAGCTATTTCCGTGACTCAGAGAGAGAAATCTTGTTCTCAACTCACACAATATTTCGTATTGGAGAAATAAAAAAAATTCAAAATCGTCTCTGGCAAGTGGTACTCTTACTAACAAACGATAGCGATGAAGAACTTAAAGTACTCACTGAATATATCCGACAAGAGATTAGCGGATCGACGGATAGGTACCGATTAGGTGATTTGCTATTGAAAGTAGGTAGTCTAGATGAAGCTGAAAATGTCTACCGATTGCTACTCCAAACTAAAACGAATCAGTGCAATCAAGACCTTGCTTATCTGAACAATCAGCTAGGATTAATAACAAATACGAGAGGTAATTACGAAGACGCGTTGCAATTTTATCAGAAGATGCTTGATGTTCGACAGAAATTTCAACCAGAGGATGATCCAGCTTTAATCATGACGTATCACAACATTGGGTCAGTGTATTTCAATATGGGCCAATATTTAAACGCACTTGAACTCTATCAAAAAGTAGTCGAGTTTATACAAAAATCTCATTCTGCTGATGATTCTGACCTAATCACTGCCTATAACAACATTGGCACGGTATATCATTGGATAGCAGAATTCTCAAAAGCTCTGGAATTCTACAAAAAGGCGCTCGAAATGCAAAGAACAACACTCCCTTCAATCCATCCACAGTTAGCAAGGACCTTCAGTAATATAGGCAGTGCGTATGACGCCATGGGAGAATACACGCACGCCCTCGAATTCTACCAAAAAACTCTGAAGATTCAGCTGAGATCACTTCCTGTATATCATTTAGATCTAGCTACGACTTACAGCAACATTGGCTTAGCGAATAGCAATTTGGGAGAGTACTTTTCTGCAATCGAATGTTACGAAAAGGTCCTCATGATTCTAGAAATTTCTGAGACACCAAACTATTTACATAAAGCTAATTGCTATAATAAGATAGGAATAGCTAAGTGCAACCTGGAAGAGTATAATGAAGCGCTCAACTTTTATCAAAAAGCACTTGAGCTTGAAGAAAAATATCTTCCAACAGATCATCCTAATAGAGGCTTTACTTACAATAACATCTGATTGGTATATTACAAACTCACTTAATATTCAAAAGCACTGACGTTCTATGAGAAAGACCTGAAAATTAGTTTGAAAAGTCTCTCATTAACTCATCCAGATCTTGCTATTATCTATAACAACATTGGCCAAGTGTACGATGAAATGAACGACTACTCGAAAGCACTCGAATTCTATCAAAAAACACTGGAAATTCAACGAAACTCTATTACTCCCAACCATCCAGATCTAGCTTTTACTTTCAGTAATATGGCTCATACCTACACAAAAATAGACTGCAAGTCAGAAGCATTAGAACTTTATCAAAAAGCACTCAGCATTCAAACAAACTGTTTACCTCCAGATGATCCACGCTTGCTTATTTATTATGAAAACATTTGCTCATTGCTTAATCATATGGGAGAAAATTTAAAAGCGACTGATCTCTTTCAAAAATCATTACAAGTCAAAGAAAAGTATCTTCCTTCCGATAATCCAGATCTAACAAATTCCTACTACCAGATTGGTATTTTGTATCACGGTGCTGATGAATATATTAAGGCACTTGATTTTTATCAAAAAGCACTTGAAATATATCAAACTCAGCATTCCATTGATCACAAACAAGTCACCAATATCTATGAAGATATTGCTTTATTGTATGAAAATATAGAACATTTATTGAAAGCTCTAGAATTTTATCATAGAATCCTCGAAATGAAACAGAAATACCTTTCTCCAGATGATATTTCTCTGGTCAAAACATTTCAAAGTATTATTTCGCTACATTATAGATTAGGCGAGTATCGAGAGACAATTGAAGTCAATGAAAAATTACTACAAATACAACAAAAATATCTGCCTCTGTACCATCCGAATTCGTCTGTTACTTACAGGAATATTGGAGAGGCATATTATAACATAAAGAACTACTCAAAAGCACTAGATTTCTATTATAGACACTTAGAAATTAGTCTAAAGTCTTTGCCTGTGAACGATCCAGATTTGAACTCTATTTACAAAATCTTAGCTAATATATATCATGAAATAGGAGAATATTCGAAAGCTCTAGAACATTACCAAAAATCGCTTGAAATCGAACAACAGTGTATACCTCTAAATAAGGAAAACTTGGCTAACGTGCACAGACAAATTGGCTCAGTATATGAAGACATTGGAAACCGTTCGACAGCAATGCAGTATTATCAAACGTCTCTTGACATTCAGCAAACAATGAATTCTTCAGATCAACCAAACTTGGCCACTACCTATACCCGAATTGCTTCCTTGTATTACAAGATGGAGGATTATTCAACTGCCCTTCACATGTATCAAACAGCCCTTGAAATACAACGTAAATCTCTTCCTTTAAATCCCTCTGATGTAGCTACCAGCTACGCAAATATAATCTTGATGCATTACAGTATGAAAGAATATCAAAAAGCTCTCGAATTCTACAAAAAAACACTTACCGTTGAAGAAAGATCTCTCACTTCGGATAACGATAATTCTACTTTTCTTTATAACAATATTGCTCTCGTTTATTACGCAGTTGAACAGTACTCAAAAGCAATAGAGCTTTTCGAAAAGTCATTTGAAACGTGCTTAAAATATTCTCCAACAGACCTCTCTGGTCCGGCTGTTGGCTACAACGAAGTCGCCTCAATTTACATCAAAATGGGACAGCTTCCCAAAGCACTGTATTATTATGAACAGGCTGTTACAGCAGAACAGAATACATTGCCTCAAAACGATGAAAATCTACAACTTTACAAAAGTAATTTAGAAACCGTACTTAAAAAGTCTAATGCTCGTTAATTTCCAAATAGTAGTTCACTACTTTAAAAGCCTAACGATTTATTCAGTAATTTGCTTAACTTAAGGAAGTCATCTGTCAACATACACGCTCATTGCAGTTTCACTTAGCATACTTCTATATAACTCCACATAGTCGTTCAAAACAAAATTCAGAACAACATAACGAAGACAAAACGAAAAATAACGATACAATGTGTGGATGTGGATTAGGGATGCACCAATTCCAGAAAATTTACGTCAAAGGTGCTACTTTTGTGGATTTTTGTGATATGAAGAACCACCAATTCCGACCAATCTTTTATGTTAAACTTGACCGCCTTGAATTGTTCTACATGTAGTGGTTGTCAGATTGCGCTAAACACCATCACAAGGTGTCAGGATTGGTCAGAATTGGCTAAAAATCCTGAATTTTTGACCAATTCTGACCAATCCTGACACCTTTTGATGGTGTTTAGCGCAATCTGACAACCACTACATGTAGAACGATTCAAGGCGGTCAAGTTTAACAAAAAAGATTGGTCGGAATTGGTGGTTCTTCATATCACAAAAATAGCACCTTTGATATCAATTTTCTGGAATTGGTGCATCCCTAGTGTGGATAGGTGTGGGTGTGCGTATGTATGTGTGGGATGTGGGTGAAAAGAGGCAACATCTACACACACATTACCTGAGCCACTACCACATCCACACCCACACACCCACACACCCACACCCCACACACTCATACCCACACACCCACACCCACACACCCACACCCACACCCACACCC